CCGAAAGCGGCAACAACAATCAAAAAATACAATTTATACACAAAGAACCATGCACAAAGGGTCCCACGAAATGGTGCCGCTGGCGAAGGGTAAACTCAACTCGTTGTCCTTGCGCCGAAGGGATGTGTGTGTGTGAGTGTGTTGTGCTATGTTGCATGCAACACACTTGCTAAGTAGCTGCGAGGGTGGCTGCCACGGCGCGTGATCCTGCGAAAAGGTTGCCCGGGCAATTGAGTGTGAAAATGTTGTAGGCATAAGCGGAGCGCCTGGATGTTGACTAATGCACGAGCAGGCACTCAACTGGCGTGTCGAAGTCCCCGAAAGTTACCAGGTCAAAGGGCAGCGACAGAGGCGGCAACAGTCAGGTGGCTCTGTAAAAGGCCCCGGATGACGAAGCCGTCGACAAGTCAATAAATATGCTACCAGATATTCATTGGCGGCATGTGTGCTGGAGGGCGAAACCGAATCCAAAACCTAAACCAAAGGCGAAATCAGAGCGAAAAGCGAAAACCTGGGCCCTAATCACGTGGCGACGACACTCGCATGGTGTTACGTCTAATGCAGAAGGTCCTGCCAGACGTCAGAGCATTGACATTGATTTGTTTTTCGTCCTGCGCTGCTGCGTCTCACTTATTTCGGGGATTGTGTGTAATACGCTTTTGATTTGCCCAGAAATTCCATTTTTCACAAGTTAATGCGCATCTCGCTACGTGTTGTCGTCACTGGGGCCATCTGGAACGTGCCCGGTTCCGGGATCCCGAATCCGGATCCGGCAACGGCTACTGCTACCCCTCAGCCATCTATCATAGTCCGGTCATTTGTCACGTGGGGGACAACGTGATTTCATTTTCCTGTCGCCATAAAGGTGACACATTGCATTCGTCCTGCTCCATTTGTTGTGTATTAGTCTAAGTACGACTGTCTGTAGCTGTGGATTTGTGCATTTGTGTGCATCTCTTTTTGTTGCTTTAAACGATCCGCTTGAAACTGGGCTTAATAAATACTAAAGCCTTGTATATTGTAGTAGTAAAAAGCAGCAGCAGTTTATTCGGTGGTCGAGCGAGAAGCGTTCCATTGATTTTCGAGAACCAGAACCAGGCTGGATAACATGTTGTTAAACCACAGGAACGCGAGCAAACAAATTACCCACAGCAGTTGGCCAAAAATTGTTGAACATAACTTCAGATTTTATGGCCCACATGTGTGCGAAAAGAGAATGGCGGAATGGAGTGCATAGAAAGTGGTGCTGGTATGGCTTGTGGGTATTCACTGTGGGTTCACTGTGTGCGGTTTAGGTTCGCAGGGGGTGCAGAGTTTACTATCAGTTTGCCGCTTGGCCGGTGTGGCCGCGAAATTAGCGCTCCACTGCCTGGAATGCTCACTACTCACTACTCACTACTCACTACTCACTACTCACTACTCACTACTCTCTACTCCCTACTCACTACACACTACTCCTATAATACCTGGCCAACAACTAGTCGCGTTTGCAGCTCGCCTTGTTCGCCGTCTTTTGCGGCTTGGCCAAGTTTCATGTCAAAAGTGCACTCCATGAATATTTCACTTGCAATCACATTGTTTTCCCGCTAACTTTTTAGATTGTTCTAACATGTGGCGGAAGAGGGCGTGGCCGGTCGAGGGAGTGGCACGTAACGTTGCAACAACAGTATCAAACTTTGGTTTTCACTCAATTTTGGCAATGCTTTTCAGGCTTGTGTCCTCACAACGGTTCGGAAATTGTGGCTCGATGCATCGAAAGAAAAACTATACTGCAGTTGGTTTATGTACTAAAAAACACAAGAAAAGTTTTTACCTAAGAGCAAATGAATGACCAAAGGATTGATTTAATGACAATATAGTTAAATTGCATATTATATTGGTTGAATTGTTAAATTGCATCTTAAATACTTGATCTTATATATGATTTTATTTTTCTGCTATTTAGTTCTCTCAGTGCATCCATTCATGTGGTGCTGTGTGTATTTGCAGAGGTAATCCCTGATTTCCTTGTGCTAAATTTGCCGTTCAGTTCAGTTTGGCTCTGTTCTGTTCGGTTGGGCTCCCTATCGCCTCACCCGTCAGATTGCAATGCTCCTGGCCTTTTGAACAGGGCACGTTAATAGTGCGGGGAGCTTTGATGGGAGCCTTAGTGTGGCCGAAATATGGGAGATTTATACAGACGTCTGGCCAGCCAGCCAGTCAGCCAGTCCGGATAACGGCCACTCCGGCATAAGTAGCCGTTCAAAAGATGTTGCTGGCTTGCTTTTGCCAACTGCCATTAAAAGCAACTGCTAGGATCTGCTCTTTTGGCGCTCAATCAAGGGATTTACAATGTTGGCTTAAAGTTTGTTTTCCGCTTAACGCAGCGTTTAATGAATTTCCCCTTTTTTGCCCAGTTTGTTCGGGAGCTCGGCAAGCTGCCGCCGCCGCGTTTCACTTGTCGCAGTTGCCACTCCGGCTCCCAGAACACCAGAGCAGGTGCGTCCCTGAGCTGCCGCGCTGCACTCGAAATTACAACGGTTGCAGGTGCAGCAGATGTGGCAGGAACTGCGAACTGCGAGCAGCAGGAACCATGCCGGTTTTTCTATATTTTATGCACTTTGCGTGCTACCAAAAATTGTAACTTTTTTCGTCTACTCTCCCACCGGTGGGCGTAAATGCACACTTTGATGAAGGTCAGTGGTGCTGCCTCCCAGGGGCAAGTAAAAATAAACGAGAACTAGTTTGATAATTTTCTACTCAAATTGAATATTTGCAACTGTACTAGTATGTGAGGCAAACTTTTCTTATTCTCTGCGAATAACTTTAATGGAAAAACTTTGAATACCAAACCGCAAAAACAAAAAATCCTGGGAAAAAAACGGAAGCGAGGGCCTGGGGGCCGAGTATGGGCACAAAAATTGGAAAATTGAAATTGAATTGTAGACACAGACAGGCACGAAAACAGGCGACCAAACTGACCAGACAGACGCAAATAGAAAACTCAACTCAAATTCAAAGTTCGGTTCAATGAGTCCATATTCACCTCTGGGGACTGGCGAATAAAATTGAAATCAAATAAATATGCTGGAATTATTCCTGGGGCACGTGTGTGTGCAAATGAGTGCGATTCTTTCATCTTTTCTGCCTTATCTTTCATCTTTCCCCACCCATTGTGAATTTCCTGGGACGCGGATCAGTGCCCAAGTGGCACAAAGTCATTTGCTTTATTAGCACTCGAATGCCAAATCCCAAAACAGACCCCTTGCTTCCAAGCAAAAAAAAAACAAAAAAAAAAGAAAAAAAGGAAGATGGAAGAACTTTCCCCGTCTGACATTATTTCGTTATTATCCGCATCAAGGACTCGATTGACAGGAGCACAGGCACGTGCTGCCAACGCCTCTATCCGTCTTGCGAAAATATTGTCACAAGCAACGAGCCAGGCTCAAAACAGACTAGCCTGGCTACAAAAGAAATTATATTTACCAGGCCAGTGGAAGGAAAAAAAAGAAAGAAATCGAGAAAACAAAACACAAACAGGTCGGCCAGTCGCTGGGTCGGTCGTTTGGGCCAAGAGCACAAAAAATCAGCAAAGGAATCAAATAAAATGCCAGCAACATGGCATCGGGGGTCGTGCCAAGTCCTGTCGCCTGACAGCCTCCACTTCTTTGCAAGTGCGTGCTGCTGACTTTTGGCCTTGCTTACCTATTTTGGCCAAGTCCTGGTGGCTGCCTGCCTTGTCCTGCCCCACTGCCAAATGTTTTCGCAGCAGATAAATACAACATTTGACACTTCATTATTGTGCCCGCAGCGTAATCGAATCAATTCAATTCCAGGTCCTTGGCTGGCCACGTCAGGCCTTGTCATGGTGTCAAAAGTGCTTGGTCCTCGGTCCTTGGTCCTAGGTCCTTCGCATCCACATCCGCATCGGCATCCGCATCCGCTTTCTCCACCATTCATTGTTCATCGCTGAGAGCCGCAAGGCTCAAGGCCGCTTGCCCTGTTGACACATTCGCTTAAACGTATTAAATTGTTTGCCGTCGCCTTTTGGCATCGACATCGACGTTGTAGCTGACGCACAGTTTTCTTCTTTTTCTTTTTTTCTTTTTTTCGTTACTTGTTTTTCCCAAGCACTCGGGGATCCTTGATGGCGCTCCGTTTGCGTGCGGAAGTGCGGCCAGTGTAGTCGTATCTGTATCCGCATTCGGCCCTGTCACACTAAAAGTAATCGATTACCTTGTAACCGGATATGAGTGTATCCGTTTTTCGAGGGGGGCGTACTCCCGACTCCCGACTTGCCCCAAAAGGTGCTGTGTTGGGTTTAATCGAGTTTGATTGGGCCGGCCACAATGCCTGGCTATTTATGCAATAATCATTGTTTAATTACAAAACCAAATAAATACTCTAATGCCCTGCATGCCGGGGCCTTTGATGTGGTCACCGTGGGCCTGAATAAATTATGCAAGACACGAATTATCTAAAACGCAAATGCATCGCATCGACATCGGTATCGGTATTTGTGCGTGCCGTTGTGCCTATGCAATTGAATTAATTCGAGGCTCAGTTGGGTATTGGCCAAAAAGTATGCTTTAATATTTAAGTGCATTTTAACACTTTACAATCACACAGGCACAGACAAGTCAAAACGCACATGCACACACACACACACAAGACCAGAGATTGACATATAAAATTGATTAGCAAATCAACAGAAAGTGCTTTAAATTACTCGCCCATCCTGTGCGTAAATTTGACAACTTTCATTGGATGGGCATAATAAAATTGCACTTTATGAACTTTCCGACATTTGACAAATATCTTAAGCGCACTAAACCAATTAGCCACATGGCCACTCACAAGATGTTGTGTGCTGATCTAGAATCTAGATGATGTCCGTTGACCAAAATGTGTGCACACACGAGTAATAATATTTTGAGTAATTTACTTTATATTTTGTACGAAATGAAAATACCAAAAGGCATTTGATATTAAAAGTCTGTCTCTCCTTGTGTCCTTTGCAGTGTCCGCCCAGAGCATGATGACCAAGAACGAGCCCATGTTCATATCACGTTCGGAGACTTTCAAATTTATCACCGGCGAGACAATAGTTCTGCCATGCGAGGTGGCCAATACGGGTAAGTTGGGCAGTTGGGAAGTTGGGTAGTAATATGTGGGTTCAAAAACCCATTTTTCATCAGGCATACCGACACGAGCAGATTCGCCCACGCAGTTTGCATTTAAATGCTGCGGTCGAAAGCTTTGCCGTACAAATAATTAAGCCGACATTATGCGATGGCCACAACTATGCATTAATCCCTCGGCCGGACTAAATTTCATCCGACTGCTCTCTGACCGCAGAAAAACAGGAGCAGCGGTCAAAAGTCCACCGAGTGGCTGGTTGGTGGCATCCATCCAAGACATGTGTAGTGGTTTCGGCCTTCCGCTCCACCCAAGTCCCGGCATTTGGTCGATGTACGTTTTTCAATTTAAATGCGGTCGTGTGTGCGAGATTATTTGTACATAACAAGGATTTAGCATAAGCAACGGCATCCGAGGAGCAGGCAGCCGGCAAGAATGTGTGGGCGGAATAAAATAATGCTGGGCCAAGACAATGCCGTCCAAGATGGTCGAAACTTGTGCCACTCGTCGGGGACAAAAACGATACATAAAAACTCGGACCCAAACACTTGGAACACATTTTACTTTCTACACAGTGAAAATATCTCTACAATTTCTCTGAATGAAGACATACAGTTATTTAGTTAAATAAGAAACTTTTCTTACAAATAAGAATATATACAAATAAGAATATATATATATAGTATATATATTTTATTATGGAAACATTTAAGTTTTCAATACCATTGCTAAAAATAGAGTTACTCCTTTGAGAAAAATAACTTGTTTGCTTTTCGCCAATTGAAAATTAATTGCTAACATTTTTCTGTAGTGTGTGCACACACATATGTAGCCGTTTATATAGACGCATGTGAGCTTGAGACGTCTGCGGTGGGAGTATCCGTTTATAAGGAAAGGAAATACAGAACAAAGAATTTCATTTGCGTTTCTTATGCACTTGATTGCCTCCGACAACGACGAACTCTCCAACTTCGACCAGGACAAAGGACCAACCAAGGCCAAGACAAGGATGAAGAAGATGAAGACTGAGCTGGCAGAGCTGGCTATGCGATACATAGACAATTTCTGCAACAAAATTATAGCTGCGGGCATTTGGGTACTAATAATAAAAAAGCAGAGAACGGAAAATACCGGAATAAAGCACAAGAAAGTAAATACAAGCAAAGCCGAAGCGGTTGGGGGGAAATAAATTGCCTGGGCGTTTGGTTTACTCTGCACTTACCCCAGCCCGCCAGCCTGCCAGCCTGCTAGCCTGCCAGTTTGTCCCCTTGGCTAATGCTGCATTATGCTAATAAAGTGCCCATACGACAATTTCATTACTGCCATTGCTCAGCTCGCGGCTTACTCGCGCCCTTAAACGAAATAATTAAAAGCGAAGCCGCAGAGCGATTTCTTGTTTTTAATAACGCGTGCTTTATGCGGCACGCCCTGTGAAATATGATTAGAAACGAGTACCCGACGATTTGGCCTGATGGCGGACGCAGGTGAGCCGGAATGCAGTGCATCCCTTTTTATGGCCGCGAACATAAAGTGTAAAAAATAATTGATAGAATTTTTAAAGCCGCACTTAAACGTCGAAACTCTTGCACCCCGGCACTTTTTACAATTTATGCGCATTTTCTTTTCGTTTTATGGATACGAACTCGTAAAATTCGAAAGCGAAGAAAACGAAAATCACACAAAGGGCCTGTGCGTTTGGTTAAGTGTGTGAGCGTGTGCGTTAGAATTTCCATATAATATGAAAATGCCTTTAAACACTTATTACGGAGCTTTGCACCCCGAAAGAGTAATCTTTCAGCTCGAGTGGCGGCGATAGTCGTGTCTGAGTGCGAGTAAACAGTGAAACAGTGGAACATTTCATCATTATCATTTCATTTGAATTTTTATTTGTTCTTCAATGTCTGGCACGCAAAGTCTGTTTATTCCATTGTCTGCTTGTCGGCTTGTCTTTTTTTTTTTTTTCTGTTTGTTTTAGTCACTGAATTTGCCTTTGCCATTCCTTTTCACCAGCAGGATACTACCGTCTAGAGTGGAAATGCTTGTACTTATGTCAGCTCGACAATATCAATTTCGGAAAACCCAAAGGTTGCTTTGATCATAAGAGAAAAGCAGTTCAGTTCAGTTCAGTTCAGTTCATATTGTCGAAGCGTAATTATATCCCAGAAGCTTAGGTCTGCGTACAATATCTCATTCAGTGACTGGAGTGTCCTGGGCAGTGACTGGGGTGTCCTGCAAGGAAAGCAAACAAAGACAGGTGGCAGGTTGTTCTTTTGGACCTTGTTTGCTTGGCAAAATTTGCATGTTAATCCTGTGCCTTTTGAGACAAGTAAATATTGTTAAATAATTTATGCCCGTAAACTGGCAAATTGTTAAAACTTTCCAAATAAACAATATGCCAGAGATGGAAAATACAACTTAATTTCAATCTAAAATATTTTCATTTGAGAAGCCATTTGCTTTGGCACTTATCTCGTTGCACTGTTGCAATTTTTAAGCTTTTCTAAATCGACTAATTAATTACTCTGGCCATTTTATCAACTGCTCAACTTGTCTGCATGCAAAGCCAGTATAGTGTGAATTCTTCAATGCGGTCTCGCTGCAACAGGAACACAAAAACGAAATGGTAGGAGCAAAAACATTTAAGAACTGGCCATGGCTAACTTGTAACTGGTAGCTGGTAACTGGTAACTGGCTGTAACGGCCTGTGTGACTGTAAACTCGAATGCAATAAAATTCAAAACACAAAAACCCCGCCATTGCGGCCATACAAACGCTCATTACGCTTTGATGGAGCGTCGGCGCTTGAAACTATTACCCGGCAAACGGAAATGGAATCGTACCGCAAAAGTTGAAGTTGTGCAAACAGCAAAACGGACCACCACTCGACTTTGCAGGCAAACGTATGGAAGTGGAAGTACGAGCGGTACGGCGGCAACAAAGTTTCAATATTAATGCCATTTACAGTTCTAATTTCGCTTTTTCCGTACTACCATGTATATGTACACACACGAACACGAACGCAGGAGCACACTTAACACACTCACACCCGGGCAAACATTGTCGTAGTCGTAGTACAAAGTTTTGCAAGAAGTTGCAGATAAGTCCGCCCCGTAGTGCCTGCCTGTACCCGTGGACCCTTCGCTCTAGTTTGCCTGCGGCGGCTAAGCCGCAACATCGTTTATCTTCGGGGGTCATCATCTTATAATATTGGCCTTTCCGACATGCAATAAATTGCGCTCAGACAAACAACATGTCCGTTGGTCGGCCTTTAGTCCGTTTTTACCCTGTGAGAAAATCGAGCTCAAGGCGGATGGGATGGCTGGCATATTGCGCATACGCACAGTATGCCCAGAGCAAACAGACAAAGGCGCTGCAACAATGCGAACAGTGGCCATATTTGAATTGGTCGGGTTGGGGTATGTGTTTTTGTTGGCCTGCTGCCTGCTGCCTGCTGCCTGTTTATGTGCATATGTCCGTTTGTAGGATCTCTGTCACTGGGTGTAGTGTGGAAAGCTAAAAGTTGGCTTTCGGTTGTAAACAATGAACCAGCGCTCTGCAGCAGGACGTGTGTGGTCGGCCATTTGTCCAGGCGGAGGCCGTGTTTATGTGAGCCCACTGAGGATGAGCCTGACATAGAAAAACCGAAATGCTTTTACCGAGTTTCCGCCCCACGCCAGCCACTACTAGTTCATCCTAATCCTGCTCCTGCTCCTGCTCCTGCTCCTAATTCCAGGACTTGCGGCTCGCTTAACGGCGCAATTGTTTGCATGTATTGTTGTCGTAATGCCTCCCCTTTCACCCCCTTCGCCATCCATCTGTGTGTGTGTGTGTGTGTGTGTGTGCGTTTCTATTTAGTTTAGAACACTTAAACCGGAAATTGAGGCGTTTCGTGTTTTGCTTGTTTTCGTTGGATTGTTGTTATTTTAGTTAACAATTTATTTAGTTGCAGCCCGGCAGTGTACACAGATGAACAAGGCTGCTGATTTATGTGTACACTTGCAACGGACAAGATTCCTGAGTCCTGAGTCCTGCGCAAATTTAGCTACTATTGCCTGGCCAATAATTATTTTGCCACTCTGAAAAATAAATATATATTTTTGTATTTCTTTAAATCTTACTTTGTTACTTTTGTAAATCTTGTATCTGTTACTCAATTCTGTACACCATTTTTTTATTTTATTGACAGCATCAATTAAAACTCCACTCTCGTACGAAAATTCCAAAAATCCTGATATCATCATCTTTTTTATTAACTAACAAATGAAATGAACTGACAGTTCTAAAACAACGCCAGCCAATAAGTAAGAAATCGATGGAATTAGGCTATTGTGTGGCTTGAATACTCCCTTAGGGAACCAAACAATTGACATGCTGACTTTTGCAATTTGAAAGCTGTTGCCCAATTTGCATATCCCTGCGCCAAAATTGACTTGGCAATGTATCAACTGTAGTACGACTGACGTTGCTTCATTCATAACTCAATCAAGCGGCTAATATGATATGACTGCACTTCGCCAGCACGTTCATGTTGCAACACCCGGCCGGAGGAGTCTTTGCCTTTGCCTTTGCACCTCTAATTTCTAAGCAGGATGCATATGCATGCGAGGAGTGGGACTTACAAACCCAGAACTCAATACCCTAGCACCTCGTCATCGCCACCCAGGCAGCCTGAGGAATTATACGTCCCGTTTTCCCTTTTCTTCTTATGCGGCAGGGACACACACCATCTACACATCCCGGTCACCCACTTGGAGCTCCATGCTGCAACCACAACTCCACCTCCGACGCCTTTTAGAGCACGCTAACGACAGCAGGTGGTGCTCGTTTATTTATTTGTTTTTGCAGTGCACTGCGCCTGCATTGCCTGCCTTTCAGCTTTTCATGGTGCCGGAGACCGTGCGGCCCGGCTTGTTGATGTTGTTGAACTCATTGCAAATAAATACGCTTTTTGAATGCGCATGTAAATGACTTCATAAGCATTTTATTACAGCCCAGCCAACTCGGCTGAGGTCCTGCTGCACACACTCATTCTCATTCACGGTTCTGTGTGTGCTTGCGAGGTGGAATCAATTTGAAAAAGGAAGAGTCGGCTACTTACAGCGGAGATCAAAATAGTATATACAATTATTTATTAATTATCTAACATATTTGCCATGGTCTTGCAGACCAATATATATAGGAATCAATATATATAGGAATCAAAACCAAATAATGGAACAAATTATTTTCCCTTTTTATTTCGAAAGGCAGCATAGCATATTTAGCGTTAATTTATAAAGAACATTGTTATTTGATAATGTCTAAAAGTCAAACTAATTTAATTTATTTAAACAATTAATTTTTTTTAAAATAACATTCCAAAATCCGAACTCTTTTAAACGTGTAAAACACGTAAACTTTTAAAGTAACTTTTAAAGTCAGTGCCACATGCTTGACCGCAGCTGTGAATCATTTTTCCCGTACTCTTGATTTTTGGGCAGCAGTAGAGCACACTTAGTCGTCGATGGCGGGCGAAATTGTTTTAATTTTTAATGAACGCTGCTCGTCGGCACCGAAACACGGAAGTCATACATCATTAGTAGCAAATCCGGCAGCTTCAATACAAATTTCAATACTTCTGCTGCTCCAACTCCCCATAGTATACCCATACTCTCTCCCCAAATTTCCCTTTTTCCCTTTGCCGACCATCTATGCTCTGCACGCGCGCGGAAATTTACATCGAGCAACTCACATAAATTGAAAAAGGAATCACAATTAATGAGTTCGATGAGCACGCCATTTCCATTGGACTGTCGTACGTGAATGAGGGTGTGAGAGTATTTGTGCATGTTAGGGCGGACCTTAGTCATCCAAGCTTGATAATGCTAATAATAAGACTGTTTATATGCAAAATATGAATCTAAATTAATCTATTCATTTTTTTAAACATCATTTTCATTTAAACTTGGGATTTTAAAGTGACTTCGAATTCATTCCATGCAGATTTTAAGATGACTAAATAATTGAATATAGGCATCTATATAAGAAATTCAAATTGCTTGGAAACAGAAAACTTTTTTTTTTGGTTTTATTATAATTTTTTTTTTTTTTTTAATTTCTTTTTTGATTTTTTATTATTTATGTTTTTATTTAGGCACAATCAGTAAAAAATGTATGTAATTAATTAGTTTTGTATATCAAAGGAAGCCAATGGGGTGATAATGGTCCACCCTGGGTTACATGGGTCTGGTTGGCATCCTTCCTCTGGCATGCTAGCATCCTGGCTGGCTCCTGCTCCTGTTGCTGCCGCTGCCGCTGCTGTTGAAGGCATCCGAGTGTCTGACTGCCTCTCATTCTGGCATATGATTGCAAATGCCGCACATTAGCGGATATCAAGTGGGTGTTACTGAGTGCCTGTCTGACTCTCATCCAGTGTTGTTCATGCCGCCTGTCTGCGGTTTATATTCCACTCTGGATCTGCCTCTGGCTGCGTGTGTGTGTGTGTATGTGTGTATGTGTGTATGTGTGCTGGTCCATGTCAAATTGAATTTCTAGCCTTTTTAGATCCTTTGAAGCGGGCCGTAATTGAGTCATTTGAATTCTGACTTTTCCATTTGCGCTGCCAGTGCAATGCAGGCACTCGGATCTGCCATTCGATTTACTAACTCTCGAACATAATTTATCAATTATAAATGCCAGCTCTGATTTCGATTTTGATTTCGTTTCCAATTCGCCTCTCATTGCAGACACGTACGTTGTGGCCTGGAAGCGTGGCATCGCCATATTAACCGCCGGCTCCGTGAAAGTGACTCCCGATCCCCGCGTTCGCCTAGTCAACGGATTCAACCTGCAGATACGAGACGCCCTGCCCACGGATGCCGGCGATTATATCTGCCAGATTGCCACCATGGATCCGCGCGAAATCACCCACACGGTCGAGATACTGGGTAAGTAGCCTATAGGCTCACAAATTTGCCAACGACTTTTCGCCATTTTCGGCGTTTGCATTGTTATGCAAAGTTCCAATCTCCCAGATTGACGTTCCATGGGATTTTTATGGGCGAAATTTATGCGGCTGCCTCAAATCACTGGGGCCCCATTGTTAGGCTTCATCATTTGGGCACCGGCATCGGCACCAGTTCAGCTTGGCTGGGGTGTTGTGTGTTGGTCAAATTAACATATCCTTAAATCCTTAGTGCCTAGTGCTTTATGCGTCCGGGCCACTCAAATATGCAAAGTAGGTCGGCTGCAATTTGGCCGCTTTACGGCCAAAGATTCAATAGAGAGTGGAAATTTTTGGGAGCGTTTGAAAAAATCAAAACTAATCTGCCATTTGCCCGGAATGGCTGCTGCTGCTGCTCATCCCTCGATTTTGGTCCACTTCCATTTCCACTTGCAGTGCAAAAGCAGTGAAGCAGATCCCTTGGAGAAGAAGCTGGAAGAAGCTGTCGAGCCAGAGAACGGATGCAAATTGCTGCTCCTTTGGCTCCGAGTCCTGCTCAACTACTTCCTGCCTGGGAGACCCGTTGTGCCTAACAAGCGTACGGTTCCAGCTTTGTTTCTGGCTCCTTTTGGGTATCCTGGGTATCCTTCTTTTGCCATTGCCTTTCCCTTTCACTTTACCCTGCCCTTTCGGCATGCGTCTTCGGCTGGGCTTCTAATCAGCAATGATGAATAATTTACATATATTTCCCCCAATTACAATGTTGCCCCTTATTTGCATACGACTGTTCTGTGTGTGTGTGTGGGGGGGGGGAGAGCCACGCCCCCCCGCCTTGCTAACACTTGCCTTTCAACTGCTCCTTACGCTGTAAATGTGTGCGGTGCATGCAAATTGCGATACAATTCCCCAAATCTCCAAAGTGCTCTGTCTCGCTTTTTTGCCGCCCTTCAACTCTTCTATCTCTCGACGAGTTCGAAACGATTAAAAAATAGTTTTATAGCCTCAGACTTAAAGGCGCTTTAAACGCTTATGCGAACGCGTATGGATTTGCGCCAAAGCATTATACGCCAGGGCAGGCCTATAAAAAATGCGTATTTATTTTAGCGGCGACAACTTTTTTCATTTGTCATTGAAACTTGGTCCTGCCTTGTGGTTCTGGTCCTGTTTCTGTACTTTTTTTCGGTCACCGCCGCAGGCAAACATTAAACGGAAAAACGGGAAACTCTTCGCCAGCCACAAGAGTGAGGGAAAAAAGTCGATTATTGAAAAGTTTTGTTTATTTTATGTGTTTATTATGCGCTACGTTTGCCAAATAATGATCATGGCCAGAAATATTTCGTTTATTGAACTTTCGAAGCGCACGTAAATTTCTCGCCCCTGGTTTTTCGGCCTTTGCCGTTTGTCGTTGTTTTTGTCGTTGTCGTTGCCATTGCCTCCGCACCAATCTCCATTATTGTCAAAGGAGAAAACAGGCAAAATAATGCGCTGTCGAAGTTTTTATAGGCTCAGCAGCAGACTCGGCCAGTGGCGGACAAGGGCAGCCTCCCCAAATCAGATCAAAACCCCTGAATCCAGAAACCCGAACCCAAAAGCCCACCCATGTATTTTCGTATATAAATTTTATAAAGTTTGCCGCTCAGTGGCATCTCGGCTTGGCAGTTTTTACGAGCGTAAATTACTTTCAGTTTGGCTCACACTAAAGATGAAAAAATAATGTGCGCCACAGCCAAAGTTTTCGCCGTGGCCATAGCACTTACAAAGACATTAGACGGGCGATGGCCAAAAAATGGACCAGCCGAGTCCGGCATTGCTGCTATACCCCTCGGGCCAAAAAGACCAAAGTTTGCCCGTTGACAAATCTTTTAATATGGCACGGGCATTAATATCTGGCGGCCCCGCAATAATTGCAGTCCCAATCCCAGGACATCTGGCATCAGCCACTCACCTAGCTCGGTCTAACCGACAAAAGGTGGCTTTAATATTTGATGAGGCCGAGTCCAAGGTTTGCTATCTGTTGGCCAGCAGTCAACATGGGGTGGATGGAATGGAGATCCTGGGAAAACTGTGTCAAGGACTTGAAAGCGCTTTTGCTGGAATGCATCTGCAGGGGGCATTATTCATGTGACGTTTAATAAAACCAATTAGGCTTCGACATGGCCCATCCATTAGCCGGTGGCAGGCTGTCGCCACTCGGTTTGGTTTTGGTTTTTAACCAGGTTGGCGGTATGGTGGGATGGCGGGATGTTGACGATGGCTGGCTCACCCAAATACAACCGCAAAACATTATGTTATGCGGTGGCTGTGCGGTCGGGCATTGTGGCAATTTGCACATTTTTATCACGGCCGAATCGGTGTGATTTTTAAATGCATTTGGCGTGTGACTTTAAAATCGCTCGGCCACCATTCCGGTTTTCAGCTAGTTCAAATGTCACGGGGTACCTCAATTAGCTGTGTAATTACAGGGGCTCGCCGCAGAAGTCCAAGTCAAGGACTCCGCTTAAAGTATCGATAACAATGGAATCATTGAACCGGAAGCCATAATTATGTGTGTGTGTGTGTGGTTTGGCATAGAAAATGGAGCTCGGCGTCCTGGTGTGATTTATATGCACAATATGCCAAAACAACAGGGAGATGGATGTGGAGTTGAATGTGACCACATCAAATGGAGACCAGAGACAGGTGCGGAGAAAGGGGAAAGGTAAAGGGAGAAATGAGCCAGGGGGTAAGCATTTAATTATGGCCGACTGGCTGGTCGACAATAGATCCCGGTACAATGGGCGAAACAACAACGTTTGTACAATAACAAAAGATGCTGTCCAGGGCGGTGTGGTATATAATTATATGCCACAAGAACGATAAACAAAAGCCACACACGCACACACTCACGCACACGCACTGACCGAAGTTCTTTGGATACTTGAGACAAATTACCAACACAACACTGCAGCAGAAGCTGCAGGACAAGGATCCCACAATTAAATGCCAGGCTCTCGCTTGGCAGCCGCCTAAGTTTTAGCACTAAACTTTATCGGTTGCAACAGAATATGGATTTAAATTACTTAACGGACATGCTCCGAAGTTTTGCCGCCCACAATCCGGCGCACTTAAAGTTTAAGCCTGTCCGGGAGCAAATATAAGTGTGTGTGCGTGGGTGGGTGGTTAGCTGGTCGAGTGGAGTGTGTGGGTTACTGTGTGAGTGTGCAACTTTGCATTCCACAAAACCAGGGACCGAAGTTGAGCCACCACCATCCGCCGTGGCTGCTCCGAAATCAATATGAAACAAACTCTGTCAAAACTGGCCGCAACCATCACTTCTCCCGACGTTGCGGCCTTTGCGGCGGATGCTTTGAAAGAGCTGCTTATTAAAATTTTTGCCAGCTGGTCACAAATCCAGCAGCAGCAAAAACAGCAAAGCAAAACCACGCTGACAGTCTGCAAGATTGAGGCCCATTAAGTAGTCGTCATCTGCACGACATTACATGCCGCAATCCACGTATTATATGCCGCACAGCCAAAATCAATTTCAGTCCCCGGCATCGAGTATTAAAAGGGCTTTGGGCCCCCGCCCACAACCTATTATAGCGGGACATATTTATTGAATTCAATATGCGAGTGTACAAAGCGTGAGAAAATTGAGCATACACCAAGCACACAGGCGAATGGGTGGCGAAATGCCCTCCTGCAACTTCATTGCGAGTTGTTATCCGAATACGAGTCCTTCTCGCTGCGCCTTTTGCCAGGCTCATGATTTATTACAGTCTAATGCATATTTTGTGGCTGCAGCAGGACTCAGCTCTGCGCATACGAGCTACACAGTGAAAAGGATCCATACTAAGCTTAAAACAGTATCATAAAAAAGAGTTAATATTGGAAAATATCTTATTTATATCATCCTCTTTTTAATCTTTATAACAATCCCTTTTATAAGTGTTTTCAAGTATGTGGTCAAAAAATAAAATATATGCAATAATATTCTTGGGATTCCGGACTTTAAATATATTTTTGCATTCTCTTAATAAGTTTTTATAAGTGATTTTACGAACATTGAGACTTTTGTAGCTCTTCCGAAATTCATTTCTGCAGAATTGTTAACATTTCAATTCTTTAGCTTCAATTTTGTAATGTTATACACCCTTGTTTTAGTAAACTCAATAAAGAATTTTAATCGTTCAAAACTAACTAAAAAAAGGATTTAATATATCTCAGTGCAGCTGTGGGTTAAGGGCCATGAGCTATTTGTGCGCTTCTCAGTGATCAATTGTAATATCCTTTCGAATGCAAATATCCCGCAGGGCGAGAACTCTGCCATCCTGTCTCGGCTTATTTGTTTTGGCCAGAGCAATAGAATATATTATTTGATACATTGCAAATCGTATGTACTGTGAAAGAATTGCATCAATAACACATGTTTGTGGGTCCACTGGCGTAGTGAGTGATTTGATTGGGGCCTAATCAGTGATGCAGTCACCCCTTTTCGGTTGCGCCCCTGTGGAGATGGACTCTCATTTGACATGCATGTTCTGCACGTTGAGTTGACTATATTGAAGTGTCTCTGTGCGCCCCTTGGTATATTGAGCTGTTGATACTCGCACTTAAATGTGAAAATTTCTGGGGAAAACCAAATAACAGCAAAGTGTGTGCTGGCCTCAATTTACGGGCTAGTCAAATTAACGAAATCTCCCAGAGCTTTAACATGGCAAGAAAAACAACGAGACTGGAAATAAAGTAAGTACAAAATCACAAAACACAGAGCGAACAAAAACAACGACTGCCATCCATTTGGTAGCCCCAAACAAACTCTAATAATGCATAAGAAATGTCCATAAAATTAAATGAAGCCATAGCCAACAGCCATCGAAGGCGTCAGCTGGCATTGTCCTTGATTTAGTCGTCGCTCGGCAGACATAATTTTTAACAGCTGTAAAATAATGCGGTCGCAAGTATAAATAAACGCCGGTCTCGAATTAAATCAAACTATGCCCCGGCGGGGTAAAAAATGGGGATCCGAGGGGTACTTTAAGCGCCGAAGTCCAAAGTTGGAGATGCGTAAATGCCGTTTGTTCTCATTCAATTTGCATTCGGGGCGCATTTATTCAAATTGTGTGATGTCCTTGCCCGACCCCACTTTGCATATATTTTGGGTGGACAGTGGGGACCCAGGGACTGTTTGGCCATTTCTAATGTGTTTTCTTCTCTGCTTTTCTGTCTGTTTGCCCTCCAGTGCCGCCGAGGATTCATCACATTAGCACCGGCGGACATTTGCAAGTCAAGAAGGGCTCGTCGGTGCGCATCGAGTGCTCGGCCACGGGTAATCCAATGCCGAATGTGACTTGGAGCCGCAAAAATAATATTTTGCCCAACGGTAAGATTGCGCATAAAAATAAAAAAGAAAAATAGATACCCACCGACCGACATGTAACCAAATATAACCAAATAACCGGACAACCAACCAACCAACCAACCAACCAACCAACCAACCAACCAACCAACCAACCAACCAACCAACCGACCAAAGACCAAGCAAATTAAAATCATAAAGAGCAACAAAGGACGAGCGGCGGAGGCGAACGTAAATGAATATACAGTCGTAAAAGAAACTTTAAACAATTTCCATAAAAATGGAAAGTCAAAGAAATTATATTTTCTGCCCCGGCTTCGCCCACCGCCTTGTTCGTCCTTTATTATTAAATATAATGCTTACTCTGCCGGCAAAGGCAAAGGCGCAGTGTGTGAGTGCGTCTCCGTTGGTGGTTTCTTCGTTGTTTGGCGGTCAACCCGCGGCGAAGAGACGACTACGGCCGGACATCACTGTCACTTGGCCGCACGTTGATTCCCCGTAATTGGCCCTGTCATTTCTTGGGCTACGGCTCACGGATGGACACCCGGACACCCCGGATGCCGACCTTATAGAGTTGCATTTTTCATTCGGTTTTCATGGCTCTCTGTTGCAGGCGAGGAGAAGCTCCACTCGCACGTCCTCTCCATCGAGAATGTGGATCGGCACAAGGGCGGCGTCTACATATGCACTGCCAACAATCGCGTCGGACAGCCCGCTTCCAGCCAGGTCGTGCTCCATGTCCTGTGTAAGTATGCCACCCACTTTCATATTTGAACACTCGGAAAATGTACAGAAATTAATATGGGGAAAAGAAACGCCATCAAAGATACACAAATTACGGTTTAGGATATAAAACTTTTGAAAACAAATTAACAGCAGACTAATATCAAGGCTTCAAGTAAACTCACAAATTGTTGAACAAAACCTACGATACTTAGTCAATTTTATTAATAATTTTGTAGCACAAAAATATGTGTTATTATTTCTTGTTTTATTATAATAATTTATTAGTTAGAAAAAGTATAGAAAAACAGTTTTCCTTTCCTAAATCGATATAAACTTTAAAAAGGGCAGAAGTAAAATATAAAGCCAAAGTAAAAATGTATCTCTATTTTGTCCAACACATAATATTTTCAAGTGCAGACACACAATGGCAGCGAAACGAATTAATTTTTTTCCGAACGCTACTGTGGCCCGGAGTTCGACTGTCAGTCCAATTTATGTCAAATCTGATTTCGATTTCGAACGGGTATTGACTTTTAACGCTCTCGTTCTCGCGGCAAATGCAGTGGCGTAGATGATAGAGTCGTGTGGGGCTAAGGGGCGTGGTTGGCCGCCCACCAGCAAGAGCGAGAGGGGAATGCTTTTATTACATTCACACACTTACCGACATTTATTGGTTGGCTGGCAATTATTGAAATGCCTGGCGGGTCCTGGCGTTCGGTCTGACATTTATTAAGAATTTATATGTATAATTTTGATGGGAGTCCGTTACCGATGCGGAGTGGTCATTACATGTGCTAATTACATGGTTTCCATCTCTATTTACACTTTGTGGCACAAATGGCTGGAGGGGTCAAGGAGGGGTTCATTGATTATTCGCGTTCCTCGCTGCCATTCCGTGAGGCAGGACAATGTTCATGTTATTAACTAATTTCTTAACGTTCTCTTCTCATCTCCTCCCCTCTCCCCTCCCCTTCCTTTTCTTTTTTGCATTTTTCCCGCAGTTTCGCCGGAAATCTCCGTGGAGCGTCCCGTGGTCTTCTCCGGCGAAGGGCACGAGGCCACGCTGGTCTGCATCGTCCACGGCGAAACACAGCCTGAGGTATGTTTTAATTAAATTTCATACATAAATTTTCATTATCGCGCTTGCTCACTTGGAAACACGTACCGCAGAGGCGAACCACACGCCCCCGCAGCGACAGCAGATACACCAGATACAGATACACCAGATACAGATATACATGCGGACAGATTCTGAAGTACATATATTATATAGTCCATAGAGTATAGTCCACAGTCCATAATCCATAGACATATCCATAGATTTAGCAGCCAACTCGGAGAGTCCATTGTTTGGCTGAGCTAAAAGCAGCTGCCTGCTGCCATTACGCATTAATTAAAAGTCTACAAAGGCAAATTGAAGTGCACTACAAAGATGGGAGATAAAAAAAGGGGACGCAGGACGAAAAAGAAAGGCGCCGAGCATAATTTTAATCAAACATAGCTCACAAAAGTCCAACTGAGATGGCGGCTGTGTGTCCTTGTCATTGTCCTGTTGCCCAATGCACTTTTGGTATACGAACATTCAGTTTTTCTGTTTCTGCAGTAATTTCGACTTCACTTTTGGCCAGGCTCTCCGCTTCTGGTGTTTATTTTTGTGCTCTGCGCCTTTTGTCGACATTTAAATTAATACGCTCGGCTATAATTCAAAGTAAAATTGCGGAAGTTGCCAAAGCGGAAGTGAGAAGCGGCGGGCTACCGAAACACACAAAAAAAGCACAAGAGCAATGCCAAAGAGCTGAAAAGAGAACCCAAAATGACATGGCGCACACACAGGCGCGAAGAGGAGAGCGGAAGGGGAGCGATACGGATATACTAGGGTGATCCTCTGGAATACAAATTATTAATTACATAGTTTATCATCAAATTATAAAAATGATACAAATCATCAAAATGAAATAAACAATAATTATGAGGCATTTATCATCCAAAAGCATTCACACTGCTTGTGAGCGATAAAGTCAGGCATTAACCTTACAACTCAGTTAGTTTTACTACGACTGCGCTTTAAAACTCAAAATACTCCATTTTGTCTATTTTATTTCTGAAAAAACAAGTCTTGAGCCACCCTAACGAACACAAAGGAAACGCGAATAATGACTTGCGACCGCAAATGTCAATCCTTAAAATTATACAGCTCCCGTTTCATTTCACTTTGTTTCGTTTCATTTTGCCTCGATTCGTGGTAAGTTGCGCGTCTGAGCCCGTTCCACGAATTCCGGCAGCGTATTAAGTTTTTATGCTATTTAATTTTTAACATTTCGCTTTTTTTCGGACCTCGTTTTGTGGCCGTAAAGAGTTGACTGCCTCCCAGTGAACAGCGTAACTATTTATTTGCCAGCTAGCTGCTTGCTGCAGCTTTTTATTTGCTCTGTCCGCCACATTTCATTATCGTCGTTGGCCCTCGGACGCCTAACCCGCCCCCCCTTCGCCCGTTTAACCCCCCCGTCATAGCCCAGCGTCAACGTCAACGCCTCCTGCTTTGCATTGTGCATGCCATCATCGCCAGAGAGGGCGGCAGGGGATGGGGGCGTGGCATTTAGTAGTCTTTGAGAATAGCATTTCCGCATGCAATTTTTACATTTGCTTTCTCCTCCACGTTTGACGTTCCTCTTTTTCGTCATTTTCTCTTCATTCATTTAAATGTTGTTTTGTTTCTTTTTTATTTGCTTGTATCCCTGTGGCTAAGTGTATACAATTTAACGCTTCCTTTTTGGTTGTTTTTTTTTAAACTTTTTTTTTTTTTTTTATTTTTTGTTGCTTTTTTTACAAGCCACCAAGTACTTGACTTCGCTCCACCTGCAATTGCAAATATAAAACTTTCAAGAGCACCACAGACGCGCAAGTATGAGATTTTTTTGATTTACTCACCCGAGTTTTTCTTGTTTTGCACCCCTTAAATGTTAATTAAGGAATTCAGTCGCATGTAAACCAAATGCACCGCCAAAGGTCAGTTTAATTAGCTAAAATGCTAAAGTTTGTAAATAGCTATGGTTTGCCGCACAGAGCGTGCTATTACGGTATGAATTATAAATAGCGGAATTTAACTAAAGGCATGGAAATGATGGAACAATGGTGCAAATTATCGGCAGCCAATAAACCAATCAGTTCAGATAGCAAATGGAGGTATGTCTGTGGCTTCCACGCATCATTGTTCATATTTTCCTGGTGCAGCCTGCAATTTTAATTATGTCTTGTCAACGTTGGAGCAGGCATTGTGCAGCGGAAAAACCGCAAAACTATGTCACTCGGGGGGGGGGCAGCATATTAATTATTTAGCGTGCATTAAAAGGTACTCCACACACACATACAGACACTCACAATCTCCCAGTCTGCCGCCTGTGCACTGGCACTTAGGTGCATATTTACATATTAATTACGCATTGCACCGCAAGCCCAAGTCTGGCATAATCATAATCCATTGATATTGTCGATTTGTTGCATAATGAATATCATAAACAAGCACTAAGCTCTGCCCGTTCTACTTGTCCCCTGAACTGAGCCACCCAAACCACACACACGACCCGTAAGGACAGTCAGCAACAAAGTCATTGGAGCAATTGTCATTAACATGAGCGACGGCAATGAGACAACATCATTATCAACGTCATCGGGCGGCAGAATTGTCAACGATGTTGTCGCCGTCATCGATGTCGCACGCATTAAACATGCAGCAGCATTTGACAGGGCCATCAACGTCAGCAGCTAACAGCATTAATGGGCATCCGTTTGGACAGCCGCTGTTCCCCTATACGCCCACACACCACCCACTTACTCGCCCACCCCCATCGCCCACCGCCCACTTGCACACCCACCTCCACACCACCAGCGCTCCTAAACATGGACTCTCGTTGATGAGCTTTCATCGCCCATCAGCGCGCGAGAAAGAGAGGAAAATATGGCAGCCATGCCGCTACTATGGCTTTTAATTATTTTGCAAATTAATTTCCAAATTGGTAATTTTCTTCACTTTTACACACACTGCCATGAACGCAGCCCACCTAATGAGTTTTTGTTCCGGGTGAAGGACTGCAAGTTGGCCTATTGGACCGATCCCAAATGAGATGTTTAGTTGGCACAAAATTGCGAGATAATTGGAGTATGCGTCGCTCTGGAAATTGCTTGCCGACAGCGTCACAAAACCCACTTGATATATACATTTAAAGTGGGTCATTGCGTCAACAAAGATCACCTAAAGCTACAATACAATTAACAAAAGGCTTTAATTTTTCTATTTTTTTAAATAACTCTTGCCTAATATTAAACGATCCATATATTTACATTTGTAACCATTTTCACATGTTTACAAAATGTAAACTGTGGCATGCTAAATTCAATATTGAAAAAATACAAAAAATTTTTACCATTCTGTAAAAGTTCGTTTAAGATTAAAGGGTTCCAAGTTACAATGGAATCCATTTAAATATTAAACAATAATGCCATGCATGTTCAAATTTAAACAAACAGCACAGCTCAAGTTATTTGGAATGTTTTAAAACACCCTTGCCCTTTCCATTGGGCAAACAAACTTGAGAATCCCAACTTTCAGGGCTTTCCTTAGTGTTAATTGTGTGAAATATGTACGATCATATATATAGTAAGTACGAGAGAAGTTTGAAGTGATTGCCCGATTATAGACTTAATGACACAGTAGGCCGGTACTCTAAACTGCTGTTAACTGCTATAATTAATTACGGCAAAGTTATTTATTGTCATTATCTAATTTCTATTAGCTTTTCCCAGGGCGGCAACTTTGGGGAGCAGCTGGGCCCTGACCAATTGGTAGTAGTGTAGTGTAGTGGTGTAGGCGGCAACTTAAGTCAAACTGTGGCCATTAACAGCGACACCAGTGGCAGCCGATTCTTGTTCCACACGCAACTCTCGTGAGTGCGTGGTGGCGTGCCAACGCGGCGTATGCGTAATTCCCACATGCCTCTTGCAATTATTTGTTTGGCTCTCGCTTCTCCTTTGGCGCGTTTTCACTCGCAGCTGCCACCCATCTAACAACACTCTTCCTTTGGCAATTTCCGCTGTGCTAGCGAGGGAAGGTATTGCATAATAGATTGCCAGTCAGAACGGAAGGCAAAAAGGAGGATCTAGAAGCCAGGATTAAGGAGCAGGGAAAGTAGAAAGCCAGTTGGCAGTGGCAGTGGCAGTGGCACGCATATTCTTTTCTTTCTTCTTTCCTTTTGGCTGATTAGTGTTGATTGGTATTTCTCGCCTTGCTGCTCATCAATGCTAATTTCTTACCGCTTCTTCGTCTCATTTCGCTTTGTTTTATTTGGGCAACAGCTTCAAAGTTAGTCAAGTTTCTTGTTTCGAATCGATTTGCTCGATGCGATTCGTTTCCTTTCCCTTGTGTTCACGTTCCGCATTTGAAAATTAAGCGCAAGTGCAAAAGATTGATTGGCGTAACATTTGCGTGGATCTATTAATGAAGTGCACACAGGGCGGCCAATCAATTGCCATTGCTTGCCCCATCCAGGTTGTGGAGCAATTAATTCGGTTAGCCATCTTCGGCCAGCCGTCGGAGAGAAATATTAAATAAAATAATTTCTGGCCATTTTTCTGCCACGTCAACACTTACGCCTCGTTACGCACGGTTGAAGGAATGGCGCCAGAATGATTTTGTTTGTGTTTTTTTTGTGTGTTTGGCCGATGATAATAGCGATCGTGGGAAAGGGAAGAGCCAGCCCCTAACTAGAGCTTAAATTAAGGGAAAAGCGTAAAACCAACTGCCACAGCCTAGAAACAAAAGGCATGGAAAACGCAAACATCAACAATTCGTACAAATAACGGCATGGGCAAAAAACATTTATGGCACGACGGTATAGCTGTAAATGCACACGTACACACACAGGGAAAATGTCTGAAAACGTGCTGCTGTGAGTGGAAAACATGACAACACATATGCACTGCTGACAGCCATTTTAATGGAATATGCCGCTAAGCACCGTCGGCGTTAACTAATCTAGCCAAATAGGAGCAAATAAATACCAGACTTGAAAATAGAATTGCCACAGATAGCAGGCCACTACATACCAGTCCGTCCTCCAGTGTCGTTATAATTTTTTTTCGTCTATTTGTTTTAATATTTGTGCCTTTTGGGGGGAGCAGGAGATTGGATTTTGGTATGTGCGGCATGCCAACGGGCACCTGCTGCTGCCTTTGCTACTGCTTCTGTTTCTGCTTCTGCTGTATCCGAACCCGTATCCCCTGTTAATTCGAGCGTTCTGTCCTTGCTTATCTGCCGACTACGGCCCTGCTCTATCCTGACGTATCCCGGCGTATCCTGTCTGCGAGCTGTCAGCGCGGCGACAGCAGGGCGCTGCAGCGACTCTCGCGCCCAATTCATTTACAAAACACGCACATCTATCCGTCCGTCTGTCCGTCCGTTTATCCATATAGTTGGGAGCTCTCACGGATCCTTATTTTTTTGGGGGGAGGTAGGGATATGTTTGCACGGAATTCGGGCTCGCTTGACTCACAAAACATGTTGTCGATGCCGGCTGGAAAATATGTAGCAAACAAATAGAGACAAACAATGCGAAATTGAAGATGAATTTCCAGCGAGACGTTCGTTGCCCAACTGCTGAGACGCAAAAGAAATCTGATGGAAAATCAATAGCCGTAGGAGGGGCACGTCGATCTGGTTTTCAATTTCAACAGGAATTACGCTTAATTGACGCTCAAGTGACAGCCGCACGAAGTGGCAGTGGAAGTACTGGTCGCAAATCGTCTTAACTTTTGCCCCATCTCGACCCCATCTAAAACCTCAAGCAACCGCATTACCCACCTCAGACTGAACCCCAGACTCTCAGGTACCTACACACAAACGCAATCACGCACACTCCACTTGGACACACTAGCCAGTTCGCCAGTTCACTAGTTCACCAGGCAACTCGTGCTCGCCTCGATTGACCAAGTTTTCAATTATTTACAGGTAATTTGGTTCAAAGACACCATGCAATTGGATACCACGGAGCGGCACATCATGGAGACGCGGGGATCGCGGCACACGCTGATTATACGCAAAGTGCATCCGCAGGACTTTGGCAACTACTCCTGTGTGGCCGAGAATCAGCTCGGTAAGGCACGCAAGACCCTGCAGTTGAGCGGAAAACCGAACGTTGCCGTTTTTAATTCACCGCCAATCAGTCAGTACAAGGACAGGTAAGAGTTGGATGAGCTCAGGCCACGTGCCGAGTTAGACAATGCTTGATTGGGTTGCCTAATTACGAAACGAAAGGCAGGGGCCGGCTACGACTTTGTAATTGAGCATAAAATGCAAAATCCGTAACAAATGTCAGGTTTACTGGCCTGATTGGACATTGGACACCATCCAGAGATGATGTACTCGGGGTAACTTTATTACATTAATTCCGTTGACTGACATGGCAACCGGCTGACGGACGGCAAGCCCTCTGGGCCGCCAGTGCGTATACGTAACGTAACGAATGAAACTTTTAATTGGATTAGCTGTCATCCAACACACGCACACACACACTCACACGCCCGTCGCATATGTGGGCAGACAAAAGGCGGTTAGTGATGGAAAAGGGGCCAAAAGGAGTGGGTAGCCAGCCAAGCGACAAACAAGCGCACATCTCACGTCACACTCGTAGAAAATGGCAGTGGAAATAGAGAAAACGACAGCCGCGACAGCTAGATAGCTTTACACTGACTTTTCGGCAGAGGAGTGACAGGCAAAACACCTTTCAATAATTCAACTCGCATTGAGACCAATAATCTGCTACAAAAATTTTCGAAAACTGTGCAGACAGTCAGATGCCATGGCCATCATAATTCGCATACGCCCCGTTTACGCAACTTTGCAATAAGGCAACTAAGCGAACATTTTAGCCATGTCAACTTTGGCGCTGATTTCATTTCGTTTCATTTGGTCTGATTCGCTGCCCGAAACAGCTGCCGGCAATTAAGCTACCAAAAAAGCCCCGACCGAGCACACAAAGTACGCAAAAGCGGTCCCCTTTCAACAAGCCGTCTGGCGCCAGTCGCCGGCTCTTCAATTGTTAATAATCATTTTTATTGCTTGCGTTAGTTTTATGCTATATGCTATATGCGAAAAGTTTCCTGATTGGCGTTTTATGTTTTTATTGTGCCCAGGACTTGAAGTTATTAGTTCGCATGGCCCAATAATCATACAGAATACATCGATAGCAAAACAAATAATGGAACAAAACAGGAAGCTAGACTCTCGCTGGAATCCATATCCAGCCCCATGCTGATTAACATTCAAATTGTGTGTCGGCCTTATCGCAAAGCAATGAACTTGCGCCTTTGTAATGCCAAACGGCGAATGGAGAAATGCGAATGGCAAATAGCGAATAGCGAATGGGGAAGTTGGGCCCTTAATTAGTTGTTTACTTGAGCATCTCCACTGGAGTGTGGCCATAAATAACTTTGTCCATCAGCTCCGGCGACTAATGAGCTGATCCGCCTTTAAAGCATGGATAAACTTAAGGGGAGGGAAAATACCTTTAATCCAAGCAGGGGGCAATGACCAAAAATGCAGTTTACCCAACCCCTCTCCCTTGTTCTTTGTGTCCCTAATCACGGCACAATGCTCCCAGCTGAAGTCAGGGGTCGGTCATATAACTTCATTTACACTTGAGCTGAGAATGTGCCAGGACTGTTGGCTTTTCGGTTGAATGGACGCATTGTGCGAAAGCAGTTTCTGAAACGCAGCAAGCGAACGGCGAAGGGCAGCTGGGCAAACAAGGAGCCAATAACAATGGAGAGGGCGGGCATTATGTTAAGACTGCAGTAACAGCTCCAGCAACCACGGACAACAAAGCTGCTAGCTGCGAGCTGCGAGCTGCAAGCTGGCTCATACGCAGTATCTTAGCCCGGCCATTGTCGTCAGCCATTGATTACGTTGTTGTTGTCACTCCCTCAGCTTCGCGTCCATGCCCAGCCAAAGCTATTCTCGCTGCTCTCAATGGAGAACTTAACAATTACATATTGATTGCAAGCGCCTCGGAATAAATCCCCGGCCAACTGTTGCACGCGAAAAACTTTGCCATAACCCAGCCAGTTACTGTCTAACCTCCCCTTTCCCCCTATTGCAGATACAACATCTCCTGGGCCGTCGACTCGCACTCTCCCATCGAAGAGTACAAACTGTCCTTCCGCAAGCTGCCGCAAGGACACGAGGTCGTTGGCAATGCTATTGACTCGCCATCCTCCTCGTCGCACTCCTCCTCGTCCTCCATCTCCTCCTCGTCCCAGATGTACGGCTCTGGCTCGGGGCTACATGCGCATCGGATTGGCAGCAACATGAACGGGTTCTCCGGACAGCCTGGCAGTGGCACCTACTCCGGCTACGGCAACGTGATGCACTGGGGCCACAGCGACTGGCGCAACGTCGTCCTGCCGGCGGTGCCCGTCTCGCACCACTATGTCCAGGGCATGAGCTACATGGTCCGTGGCCTGGATCCCGATCAGCACTACGAGGCCACCGTGCAGTCCAGGTGAGTCACTGCAGAGCCGAATAATTAGGGCCAAAGTTAACGCCGGGTTTTATTGGGTGTTTCCACACAGTAGTGCAGGAAGCATCAGTAAAGGATTATTTAACTCTGTGACTAGGGCAATAATTTATAAGTTTTAAGAATTGTAGCGTTAGAATGAAGCCTTTATTATAATAAATAAATTTAATAAGGATTATAATACTTATCGTTATAAGTAAGGCAAATATAGGCTAACAAAATCCGTAGTTCTTTCAATAAAATAGTATTTTAAAATATATTCAAGGCCTCAAACATAAACTGGTAATCCAAATATATTGTACTCAATTTAAATATTATTCTCTTTGAGTTTTATCCATTGCAGTTTTAAGTTATTTTAAATTTCAAGATTTTGGGAATTGATTTTAAAATCTGAAAATTTAAAACCTACTTGACTTTAATAAAATGCATTTATATAAAAAAGGAACCATTTTAAATCTTGAAATTTAATTATTTTAATATGAATTCTATCTAACATTATGATTTAATATTTAAGTAAAATGTGAAACATAAAATATTTAATTCTAAAGTCAGATATAAATTTGAACTACTCTATTTTGATATTAGTTTTCTTAAAATTAAGATTTGCTTGAATATTTGGAAGGCTTAGAACATGCTAACATTTTTGTTATATTTGGAACTTATCCGATTCTTCTTAGAGTAACTTAATTAATTTCTCTAGGAAAAGATAATAAACTTACACAAAAATCTCTTAATCGGTTCACTGTGCGCTAGCTTATTCAAGCACCGAGATATTATTTATAGCCGCAAAGCGGGGGAGCTGTCGTCATTAGCAGCGATTTGCATATTAATACCGACAATGTTCCTGAGCTGCTTAATTAATACAGTACACGGCTATCCATTGCAGGAATCGTTACGGATGGAGCGATCTGACCAACAGTTTTGTGTTCTCCACATCATCAAATGGTGAGTACCAACTGCGATATCCCTCTTTACAGCGTCGACAAACACAAAAACCCGTTTTTTTTGCATAAGGCATACATGCGAATACCCTAACAGAAAATTAAAGAAAAAAAATTGTGTTTTAATTGATTTGCAAAAATGTGTAATCTTTTAGGGTATTACAACCTCGGCTTGCCGTGGGTCAATTGAATCCCATTTGTTTATATTTTTTCTGTTGCTCTGGCTGCATGCATAATAATTTCATATTATGCGCTGCTTTCGCCGATAATCCACAAAAATCACAATGAAGCTGCAGCACGCAAACACAAAGGCAAGCCATAAAAATAGCAAAAAGTTCCCGAATAGCTTTGTATCGCAGCCAGACGAGAAATATGTTCAAGCTGTCATAACTTAATGCAGTTAAATTTATTGCTGAAGCGGGCCAGTGAAGCGTGAAGTGAACACGTCGCTTTCTCGTTTGTTTTCGTTGCGGAAATTTTAGCAATCATTTCACACTCACACTTTCAGACCACCTTGCACATGAACAGCATGTATCTTATCTTACACTCTTTGGAGCACTCACAGGTGGAAACTGCAGTTAAACGAGTACTTAAAGTAGAGATCAGCCATTCTCCATTTAGTTTATATTAATCACATGTTAGGATCATCAACGGAATTCCTGCATATCATAAAATAGTTGGGAGGAACTATTATAAAAAGTAAAGCGGCTTAAAAAAGCTCTTAAACGGATCCCTTTAGTAATTCAAAGAAAATCATTATACACTTGACTGATTCGAAATAATGCTGCATACTTCAGGGGATTCAATAAGGTAGCATAGGAATAACTCATCTTTCGAACTGGAATTATAAAACCGTATTAAATGGATAACAAAAGGAAACATTTTAAAACGATTTAAATAGTTTATAAAAATAAACTGGAAGGTTAGTGAATACCATTGCTCAAATTTGTGCTAACCCCGCAGCATAAATGAACTCCCCCTAAGCCTGCATTAAGTATACGCCGCGTTTACAGATACTTTGACTGACAGCTGACAAATTCGCGGTTAAGGGAATATCCATGTGTGTGCATAACTAATTGATGACAGTCTTGACTCTGCATAATGAGGGTGAAAAGTAAATAAGAGGACAAGCCATCACTAATTGGATGTTGGAGGTGTCGGCGGTCGGCGGCCGCAAGACGAGCCACGTAGTCCTGCAAAGTTCCTTGAAAGTCTCCAACGCCGTGGCAATAAATAACAAAGATGCATCACGACGATTGCGATTTCTTCCCGACCAGACCATCCAGACCAGCCAGGTGGGTAGTTCTAAATGCACACTCGAAATCCATTTATATGCAAAACTATTGTTGCGTTGCATACGGAATTCGAGGGAGAAAACGGAGGTCTGCCAGCGTGAAATGTGGCGCGAGCAGAGAAGCGATTTTCCATGCAAATGACGCACATTTGGAGGCGCCGGCTCCAGATCCGCTGTCTTGCCATCTTTTGGCTGCCATCGCAGCCATCGCAACCATAGCTGCCATGCGAAATGCATGCAAATGCAAATAGTGCACGGTTCAGTGCCACTCCGGCTGTTGCAGTTACGCTGGTGGGTCTTCTGCTGCCGCCTTTTGCGTTCCCCGGGCAAACAAACGCATAAATATGCAGTGGCAACAGCAATAAGAACAATTACAAAAGAAGTATGCAATAAACACGCACATGGTGAGTGAGATACTCGTATACCCATACTCATAGACATACCCATTCACATACCCGTATTCGTATTCGTATTCGTACCCGTACTCGAAATCGCATCGCATTGGTAACGCGGACAAAGCGTATCGGCGAAAATTTAATAAAGCAAAACGTGAATGCCGCACACAAAAGGGCGTCTTTCGATGCTGGGAAAGGTATCGATGTCGCCTGGCGGCACGTATCCGTATAAGATGCTGTACACAAAGTCCTGGCATCCAACTTCATTACGCGCCATTGAAATGCGAGAAACCTACCACCCCCCTTCCTTTTCATACTACTTTCATACCCATCGTATTGAAACTTCGTTGGCGGCAAGTTATGGTTGCGCTTTGTGCTAATGGAAATGACTTCATTATATTTTCGAAACGTAAACAATTTACGCAATTAGTGACCGAGCATGCGATGCAATAATAACCGCCGCAGCAACACCACCACCAACAAGGTGCAATCGAGCAAAGCGGCAACTAATGAGCCCGTAGTGTCATAACTACAACCCTCGCACAATAACCGTAACACTAAAGGACGACAATCGTCCTAGACACACACACATAGTCAGACAGTCACAGAAGTATCACAAGTTCATTTACCTGTACCAAAGAACGTATACGTGTTGTGGAAGTGGAGCAAGGACTACGACTCCTGGCTTTCGCCTGGCCACTAAAAGAAAGAAAATGCCAATTGAGGGGTCGTCTGTAGCTCACATTACGACTCCATTCGCCACGCATTTAAGATCCCGGCATCCGCAATATGACGGTCCTCCACAGGTAGATACACTCAAGCTACAAATGACGTTTGCAAAACAATAATACCCTTACCACAAGGCAAAGCCATTAAGGATAACAACAGGCTTAAGTTAGCAACGGTTTTCCTGAAATAAGTTTATCTAGTTAAATTTTAAAAATTATATTAAAATGAAATCACTAGATGTTTAATCACTTCAAAAGCGTTCCACAAGTATGCACTAAAACTATTAACTTCGTCTTTCAAAATAACTCCTATATACTTTTAGAATTTGAATAATATTTGCAAATTTAAGTTGGTTGTAAGAAAGTATGATACAAAGTAAAGAAAACCCCCTAGAGAAATACAAAATACGTACTGAATGTCTTATGGATATTATTAACATATAATGACTATGTTTTAAAGACAACATATTATATTTGATTATAAGTGCCTAAAGTTGTATACTCAGAGTTAAAGGAAATCCTAACAAAGTTATATATTCTTTTTTTAGTAGTCCATAACTCACATTTTTAGACCTTCAGTATATAAAATGAACAGAGCTTCCGCGACAAACCCATTTGACTAAAACTTGGAAGGACAATTTATTCATGGCATTACGGGTCAGCTTAAGGACTCCCAAAGGGCATATCAACTTCGATTTTCCTTGGCCATATTATCCACATTGCGAATGGTCTCTAAGAGCATTTAATTTTTACGAGTCCTCGACTGCCACCGCGTCGCAATGTGCCGCTGATGTTATCCTTGTTGGCATTGTTTTTTGTTTGTGCTGCCATTGTCATAGACCCGATGCGTGGATGTGACTTGGAGAGGTGTGGGTGGTGGTGGTTGAAATAGACCAGGTATGCAGCTATTTACATCATGAAATTCAGTTATAGTAACGATGCAAGAGCACGCGGGCTCAGGGGTCAGGCGGCACATAGCCAGCACATAGAGACATAAAAAATAATGCATTTTGTGCACGCGAAAAAATACTCGACATAAAGCAAAAAAGAAGTTAAATAAAATTACAACATAAAGTAAGGCAACGAGTGTTCAGTCTGCGATGGTGTGCGAATGTTTGTGTGCGTTTTCGGGGCGGACGTTTGCCATTAAGAAATATCAGAAAATGAAAGACTCGTTGAAAGTTGCGTAAAACTTGCTGAAACTGCCAACTGAGGAGCTGCAGCAGCAGCAGTGGCAATAACAGCAATAGCAATAACAATAACAACAGCAACAGCGGCAACAAGGCAAGGCATTCAAACGATGACAAAGTGGACCCTTACTGCATGTCCTTTGGAATGCGTTGGGGCGACGTCGCCGCTCCTGGCACTGAGCGTCTGCTCAAAACTTTCAATTTACTCGTCCTAGTCGACGACGGCCACCGGGAATCCCATCCTGCTATACTGCCATCCTGCCACCCCAAACCCCTTTCCCTGTGCGTTTGAAGCTTTTGTGTTGCCGCTGGGAATACTTTAGTCGAGGCCCAGGCAGCAGCGTCATCGCTTTTTGCGATACTCTACTTTGTTTTGCCACCCCCTTCCCGTTTGTTTGCCTGCATGTAAGTTGCAAAGTTTGCCAAGGCATATACGAAACGAGAATGGCGAAAAAATGGAAAAAACGCTGCAAGAAAATGAGGGAAGACCCGGCACAAGTTTTGTAGTGGCAGCATAACAAGCACACGGGCAACGGCAAAAATAGCACCGCCCCGTTGCGCCCTCAGTCGCCAGATGTGTAATGCGAATTCTCCACGTGAATGTTATGTTTATGTAAAGTGCAGGTCTCACAATGCCAGCCCAACACCATGGTGCATGGAGCTTGTGGAGCTTGTGGAGCATCCAGAAGGACACTGAGACACACTGTTGCTGAAGTTCCTGGCCACAAGTGCTGAGTGCCGCTGCTCGCAGTCGCATACAAAGGAATCCGAAACTGCATTATACTGCGGCACAAGTATTCCGGAGGAGCTAAGCTTTAAGCCGGGCTTTAAGGGCCGCTATGCCAGTTCGGGCGGCAAAAACAAAAACAACAAACAGCAAACCAGATATAATGGAGAACCAAATCCGTGCGGTCATCCGGCAACAAACGAGCCACTAGTGCAAGTGCACGTGGAGCATTGTTGAAATTCGGTTTGCCTGCCAAACTTGGAAATCCGCGGTGACGCCGCCGCTTTTTGTGAATCTCTAATAAACTAGCAGCAATAGCAGCTCGGAGCCAATGGCAAAACCGTCATGTGTCAACTGTGCGATTTGCCTGCTGTGTAGTACTTACAAGCATCGGTAACAGGACATCACAGCAGCAAAATCCTTACACAGAAAGAACCTTTTCTATAATTTGGTGTTCAATTAAAGGATTCTGTTTACCAGTTTGTAAACGATGCTCAAGACTCAATTCTATTTTCTAAACTTTGAATCTAAAAATTATATAAATCAAGATAAAAAATATAAACAATTTTTGGACATCAGTGACATTTTAAACAGATAAGATTTAAGTTTCATTTTAGTGTTCCATGATATTTTGATCAAATATATATATATATATATATATATTTGAATATATATATATATATTTGAATGCCTTTTGTTTCATGTGTAAAAGCAGCTTCCCAACAAATCCGTGTGCGACCATGACGATTGCATTCGCCCATTCGAATGTGTTGCTGCACCGCAATGCTATTACGTGAAAAGCGCGTGGAGGATATGGGGGATATGGAGGATGTGCAGGATGTGGAGGAAATGGAGGAAGTGGAGGAGTCCGAATTCGGACAGGTGCCGAAAGCCGGACCATCGCCATTGCGGCGACATCGATGGCGGGCTCGCGCTTATTTAGCTGCGCAACCGAGATATCACAAGTGACGTTACGGTTTTGTGCCGCCAACCGCAAGCAATAAAAGTCGCCGTACCGATGGCTGGGCCACATTAGCCAGTCGGCCACATGGTCACGAGTCCAGCTGCTCCTGCGTCCTGTATCCTGTATTCTCCATCCCACATCCTGCATCATGCATCCTGCTGCCTCTATCTTTTGCGCCATCATGTGTCCGTGGCCGCGTCTGTTTTCATTACAAAATTGCCGGCGTTAGCTGGCTCCGCAATTGACAATTTGCTTTTATTTTATGTTGACAGTTAGGGAATTTATATGGTGATGTCCGAGGGAGTGTGAGTGTGCAATGCATTTGATCGCCGCCGGCAGACCATTTTTCTTAGTCGCCTTAGCAAACGCCGGCCATCGACTAAATGGCCTAATGAATAGAGACATATGAGGTCCGAAATGAGACAAAAAGTTGGATATAAGATTTGAATTAATTATTAAATTATTTTTATATATTTTTTTAATATTTACTCACAAAAGATTAGGAGAAGGTGAAAGGACAAAATTTTATACTATTTTAAGCACAGCAAACCTAACTGCAGTTTGGTTCAACTGCTTTTAATAGGTTATGAAAAATATGGTGTGACTTATTTTTATGCTCTTCTTTTTAACGACCAGCTTGTAAAAAGGAAAACAAATTTGATTTCTGTGTAGTGTAAAGGCGAGCATTCGAAAGGTGTCATGTTTCGAGGCGTTGGCAGCCCAGATGCCTCGATAGATAAGCTGTCCCGGTTGCTGGTCAAACACGTGTGCAACATGCAACCTACATTGATAGCTTGTCCGGCATTTGAAGGAGTAGTAGGAGGAGGAGCCACTCGGCATTGGCTGTCTATTAAAAATGTGTCCGCCATCGTTGGCTCGAAGACCATTCATGAGATGATTGCTGTGTGTGCTTTGGATACGATTCTACGGGTTGGCTGGCAGGCAGTCAAATATTTATAAGTTTGGTAAGCCCGCAACTTCTGACAGGGTGCATAGAATCCTTGCGATGTCCCTGGCAGCCTCGACATTTCATTAAAATCGATATGCGAGCGAATGGGACATATAGTTTATGCAGGGAAAGATCTGCTCGGTCGATGCCTTCATTTACTGGTGTTTACAGAGTCAGATGCGCCCTTTTGAAGCCCGGCTCCAGTGGCCAAATGCTCATTTGTCATTATTGACAGATGCAGCATGTTGCCATTTAATTTGGCGGCCTTAACGAAATGAGCTGGCTGTCGTGGAGCCGTGGAATGACCTCGCTGGCGCATCGGCTCAGCCCACCCACCCACTGACTGGCCTGGCTGGCAAAGCCCACTCGATTGGCCATCTGCATATGCCGTTCAGTAGTCGCCATCGTTTGCGCAAAAGTAAATCCTCCTGATTGCAGATTGCACTTTAAGCGTTAATGATTTATTTACCCCCGCATGGATTTGATTTAAATCTTTGGCAGGCAAAAGGGCGGGGCTTTTTATTTAATAGCAGCACCGTAGACCTTGTTAACCGCACACTTTGCCCACTTTCAACTATCCTAACTTTCAACGACTGCTCCACGTACTAATTGCAGATGGACTTGTCGATCCGTCAACCTATTTGAATCTGTCAGGTTAGTCCCGCTATACCTCTTTTTCTGTCTGCCCTCCAACTTTCTCTCTCTATTTTCCTAACTTTCTTTCTCTCTCTGTTTTACTCTGTATGTCTCCTCTCTCTCTTACTCTCTTTGCATGTTTCCGTCTGCATGATATTTATTTTTTAAAACCAGCTCAATGTATGCGCTAAGCCAACTTGAATTAACCAAATACAGAAATATTATATAATAAGAACATGAAATCGGAATTCCATCATATACCATACACAAATATATTTATTTAAATGCGTTTGTCCGGTCAGTTGACCAACTATTTTTTGTGCCATTTCCAATCCGATTTCGAAACTCGATCAACAACAGAAAACGAAATAGAAGAGGACCGAAAATAAGTTTTAATGTCTGCCATTGAAAGTCCGTTTAGATGGCAGGTGTGTGTGTGCATGTGTGTGCGTGCCTAACCTGGCGAGGTGTATTCCATATATGTACCATATCCATGAATAGCCATAGCCATTGAGTAAATTTCAATCTGTCGACTTGCATGCTCAACCAATTTGTTTTACGGCCAGGCCATAGCCCAATGAATATGGCATTGCATACATTCGTTCGTGTGAAAAATGCGATGGATTTCTATACTATACTATGCCACTTCTTTTTGAGGCCTTTTTGAGCGGATTAATAAAAGCGAATCGCATCCATCTTTATTGCAGATAACGAGATGCGGGACCTGAGCGTCACCTTCTACGGCAGCAGCGCCATCAACCGACAGAAACTGGGCCTCCTGGCCCTGAGTTCCGCCACTCTGGCTCTGAGCCTGCTGGTGGCCTAATTGCTTTCGACTTCGACCTGAGTAACGAATTTCACCGCCAATAGCAGTAAAGTGAATCGATTGACTTTGATCTGTGACAGCCGAATGCAGAATGCGGAATGCAGAGCGGAGAATGCAATCCTCCACAACACTCTAGTCGTAACTGGTGGCCCAAGGGATGATCCACACCATAGGCATAAGCGTAATTACAACCACGATTTCTCATTGTTCGATTCGAATTTCTCAAAACTCAAGCAACGTTTAGCAAATTAACCAAGAAACGGAAAAGGAACCATACATTATACATGTAACAATCAATGTAAAAGAGCATGCAACTGTTCAAACTAGGACCCATAAAGCGTACACAGCACATACACAACACACACACCCCACACACTCACACTCGCCGACCATTCCAGCACTCGAAACCAGTGTACATAGATTTTATTGCATACTTACATACCTAGGAATAAACTGCACCAAAGAAATAGTCACTCGACGAGCGAAGAAATACATTTACATATAACTAGTACGTACTTGATGGCCATAAATTGCAAAGGGTGGAGAGTAGTAGCATTATGCGGATAGTTAATTAAATTAATACATGAATGCATAAACTAATTATCAGATACGCCACTGCCGCACGTCACACGCCATTCGCCACACCACGCATTTTAGTCAAATTTGATGAGAGATGAAATGGTCAGAATCGAACTAATTTGCAGCAGACGCATTACCATGGCTTACTGCAGACAGCGTTTTTCTAGCTTTTTGCAATTTGTATGTATGTAGCAGCTAAGTAGCTTAATTGACCGCAAATATGCAATTAAATAAGTCAACAAACCTATTGATTTGGTATGTAAATGAATATACACACGTGGGGGACGGCATATAGAAACCTCCATATGGCTATTCGATTACAATTAGAGCGTAAGTGTAAATAAATATGAGTAAAGAAACAGATTTGAACAGTGAATCGCAACAGTAAATATATTAATACCCAAGAGAATAGGATACCCAAACTTAAGGGTTTTAATGTCGTACACCGAACAGGATGTGGCCAAGGTTGTTTTATGTAAATATATTGCACCACAGGCATACGAAATCTCATGATATATATGTACTTACGGTTCGATACTCGTATTGTTGCTTCAACACAAAACAAATGGCACCTTTCGTGTTTGGTTTACCGGCACCTTCTACCCTGTACCCCTTTTTGCAATCCGACCCGAAGGCCAAGCTGAAAATGCACCTTTGATTCTGTCAGTCACACGTATGAGCTAGACGATAAGTGAATATTGTAATGAGATTAATGAAATCGAAGCCTACATATAAATGTATAGGAAAATAACTTTACTTGATAATTCCCAAATAAATTCAGCCATATACAAGATACGCATTCAGCTTTTCTAGAATTAAATAAATGTGGGCATGGCGGATGAGAAGCCAAAAAAAAATAGTATAGAACTAAATGTGTAATTAATACTGCTGTCAAACGATTGGCCACACAAAGGGAAAAGTGACTTACAGCAAACATAATTTGTGTTAATGTGAATGTAAATGGATGTGCAACAAGCGATACAATTAATATATGAACACAAACAACCGCAGATAAAATTTAAAATTTAAATCCGCAAACTTCCCTCTCCCTCTACGATTCCCACTCAAAAGTTGCTTTGGTCCGGCGACTGGAGCCCATCGATAAGTTAGCTAAATGATGATATGATGTCGGTACTCAGTATATATACACCTGAATATAGCGATCGAGCCGTTACTTGTATGTGTAATTTACCGCTTAGTTATAGTTATCCGATTTTGTTAAGTGCAGCAAATACCAAATCTAATTTAAAGTAATTATAATACTTACCTACACACCAGAACATTTTCGGTATTGAATGTATATGTGACTAGAAACCGTATGTGTATGTATATTTGATTATTTTGTAAAATTTTTCAAAAACTATAAATAAAGTCTATATTACCATATAAATGTAAACCCGAGGCTGCAACCTCTTCTGTGTTTTGCTTATAATTTATGCAGCCCCTTTCAGAATGTATTTTTCCACTTCTAATACTGGATTACCCTTCCCAGGACCATGATGATGCTCATCAAGCACCTTTTTAAACTCCTTACAGGCCAACAAACATTCGGAGACGTTACAGAATAAACACAGATTCAGGTTCATATTCAAATTTAGATTCAGATGCAGATAGAAGTGCGTTGGCGGCGCGCATGTGTATTTTGCAAGGGTCGAGGAGCAGAAGCACAAGCAAAGCTCGTTGCGTAAATGCAAACTTGGTTTATTTTATTTACTCCAACCAGTTGTCGTCGCCCAGTGCAGCCGGCTCACCTTTTGTATGTTGCTCAGCGATGACGGTGTAGACATTTAAGTGAGCCGGCAGAGATGACGACCCGTTCCCCCATCCCCCATCTAAATATCCAACCATCCGTCCAACCTTCCATCCCACATGATGGAATGGAAATGAAAATGGAAAAGTTTTCCTGCTGCCTCCTAGCACTCCACTCGGTAGCCAGATTGGAGTAGCAATGGTTACACAAGCACTGCTGGCAGCTCGAGGAAAAACTTTAAATGGAAAATTTGACAGACAGACATAACGGCATTTTAAATGCGATCCAAATCACATGTGCGTCCCAGCAGCATTGTGTGGCCTTCAGTAGCTTAGTCCAGGCGATATATGCTATGTAACATATACCCTGCTTACCGTTTCAAAGTCCAAGGAGAATTTAAAGTGGGGATTGCTGGTAAGTTAATTGAAAAGTTCAGCCTGGCCAGCATTTAAGAACGTGTGTGGCATAATATTGCCAATCTCTCACTGCATATGTTATAAAACCTTAAAAATAAATATATATAATTTCCCCAAAGCGAAATTAAAAGAACAAATTCCGAGAGCTCGAAATTGCAAGGTGCAAATGGCATAAAATTACCGCAAAGAACTGGCGACCCAAAAGTTCTTTCCCTGTCTGCTTTTGCCCCGGAATGGAAAGTGAATGCGAACGAGTGAATTGTGTTCTGGGCCGGGGAAGTGTGCAGAGGCCAAAACAAAACCCAAACAAGGCACCGCACCGCATCTTCCACATGTGCGTGTGTGCACCTCATTTCCGGCCATTGTTTTCGGCCCCGTACACGAGTATGTTGCCTGCTGGTGCTGTTGTTCAGCCAGGTCCTGGTGTTAAGACACTCAGAAATATATTTGCAGAGGATCGGGAATCTTAAGTGATTAAAAATCACTTTTTAAGCAACAGAAATGTGTTTCAGAACACAGAGTACCGATTTATGGTTTAGGCTTATGACTTTTCTTATTTTGCTACAGTTAATTTAGGAAAAAGTGACTTTTTTTAGTCCAATATACAATATCAATAAATATACATTAAAATCAGACACCAAAAATAATCATTATTTTGATAAAAAAAAAATCAAGCACTTATAATAGCAGCATAATTTATTGAATTACACCATTTGGTATTTATTTAGATTATCTTTTCTAATAAATATGATTAAACACAAACGTAATCTGTGCAAAATCAATAAAAATCAATAATAACAATAATATTTTGATTTTTTTTAATATCGATTATAATGATGGTCCCTGCTGTTGTTTTTGTCCATGTATCTGTCATTAAATAATAAAGCCGCTTTGTTTTATATGACATTCAATAAAATGCCAAAGCTAAACAATTCCTTTAATACTTCATCAATTTCGCTTTGACTTTTTAATATGTTTTAACAACTGTCACAAATTAATATAAGATATTAAAGGCTTTATCAACAGATTATTAAAACACACAAATTGGCTCTCGAATGAATTTTTTTCGGTGCCCTGTACCTGCTCTGCTCTGCTGCGAGTTCTACTTCTGGGCACTGTTCTCAATGCCATTCTCGTTGCCGTAGTCGTACCCGTTCCACTTCCTGTTGTCGTTTGGCTGCTGTTTTCACGTTATGAGCTACTTGTTGTCCCGGTGCCGGTGCCTTCCCCGAAAGCCCATACGCTTGCAAATGCTGATGCGGATCCGTAGGCCTACGTGTGTGCGACATGTTTACATAAAGTCCTTTGCCGCTTCTAATGCATTATGGCAACAACACGAACGCCACTCGGCGCTGCTTATATTTATCGTGTGTGCCAGCCTGGAGCCTCGACCGGGCTAGTTGGGGGGCACACTGGTTGAAATATCACAGACGCATCGCACCACCACATAGACAAAAACTAAAACAAAAACAAAAACACCCAGACTCACACCGCTGCATAAATATTTGCATACGATATTTATTATGCTAAAAATAAGCCAAGATTTAAAAGCAGGCGAAATAGGGCCAACTTGGCTGTTCTGGGAGAAAGCGGTGCATAATGAAGGCGAGGTGGGAAAAAAAACAAATGTCATGACAACTCTCACTCAGGCAGCCTTCACACCAGGTTTTCTCCTTGGCATCCCCATCCACATTCGCTTTGTGCCACCGGAAGTGGGTCACGTATGCGCCTTAGTCGTCTCCGGCAAAGTCGAGACAAAGCGGAGCTGACTGTAATTAAGCCCCCGTGTCGTTGCCAAACGAGCTCGACATTTGTGCCTCAAGTGGCCGCCAAGGATATTGCCGCAACTCGGGAATATGATTTTCACCGCGAAATTAACTTAAATTCTTCAAAGCTTAATTCGCTTGCCAATATGGTAAGACGCTATAATGCATTTGCATGCTTTTAGGCGCGCCGAATTTGAAAACAAAACAGCGTGGAGCGAACGGAAACAAAAGCCGCCTGCCTGCCACTGTCATAAAAAAAGTGCTAAATCCATTTTGCAACTGACGGGCTAACCCAGAGCCTCCCACACCCACAGCCACAACCACACCCACACCCACACCCACTGAATACTCGACAGACTGCTGGTTGTGCGTGTAACAAGTGCCACTCAAAAGGCGGACTGGATGGAAACAATGAAGGCAAAAAGCAAAAGCACTTAATAGGCTGCCACAGCGCCGTTGACATGGCCATTTATATGCCGCATCTTGGCAGCGTTTTTAATTCATAATGCAGGGGAAGAAGGGCGGCGGCGCTGGTGAGGGGCATGGCCCCTGTCCAAAGGATGTCACAAAGACTTTGTGGCGACACTCGCCCGCGCTCCTAAGCCCTCCAGAATGCTGTCCATCGGCTGAGTGTTGTCTGTCACCGCCGCTTGCCATCCTGACATCGCACTGGGCACTGCTGAAATTGATTCCATTTTCGAATCAGATTCAGATCCAGATCAATCTTTGTGCATCGAACCGCCGGCGTCATGACAGCTCAACACGGATTTTTAAATGAGAGATCTAGTTTTGGCCGCGAGCGAAATTGTATCTATCCGCTGTTCATCACAGCTGACAGCTTTGTCAAGTTTTCGCGAAAAACTTAGCTCAATGCAAAATATTAAATTCAATCTTAAATTCCTACTCGTCATTGAAAGCCTTTCTGCCAAAGCTCATTAATGGGGAACAGAACCTAAGCCTCTCTTGAATAGTCATGCGATTCCTTCGAGAAAAATCCCCTCCATTGTTGGCTGGCCATGTTTTTCATAACATTGTTGCTCGACCAGCTCATTGTTAGCCCCTTAAATTGGGACATCGCTTCGTATACGTAATATTATTTATAAATACGCCTAACAACAGGCCCGCTCCCAACATATTGATGTGCAGCTAATGCGACCCCAGAGAATGACTGGACCTGGACAGTTGTTGTCGTACCATTGGCAGAATCGGAATCAGGAGCAGAATCAGGAGCAGAATCAGAAGCGCTAACGAGCTTGCCTTGGCTGCAATTGTTGCCAGAGCTGAATGCCAAAGCAAATAGCAGCTGAGGGGGCCACTGAAACTATAGTCAAATGCAGCAAAAAGGATTGTAAAAAACGGGGCAGGAGCAGAAATACAACAAATAGCAAGTTTGTTTGGCGCCAGGGACACCAAAAAGAGGGCGTGGACATGGGGGAGGGCATGGGCGTGAACGTGGTCGGGGCAAGGGGGCGGGGGGGGAGGGTGCAGCACTACCGGCAACTGGCAGTCAAATCAGAAAATCCGATTTGCATGGATTTGTTGGTTTCTTTTGTTGGCGTAGAGTATCCTTGCCACTGACGCCAACGCTGTTGCTGCTATTATGCTGCACAGAATTGTTGCCGTTGACTTTTTTGTTATTTTTTCTTAATGTCTGCTCAATGAAAGAAAAACGTATACCGCTCCCGCTGCCTCGGGCATCGCCTTTGGTGCCCGCTGAATTTTGTTCTTTGTTTGTTTGTTTGTTTCAGCTAAATTGTGTTTTCCCTGTTCATTCATTCGTTTGGCTTTCCCATCCGTTTTCTGTTGCTGCGGAATTTTTCAGTGATTTTACATGTAAGCATCCTTGTGAGCTCTGTGGCATGTCCACAATTGAGGCAGCCACTGCTATTCAGTCCTGCCAGGACTGCCAACTGCTAGCTTGCCCTCTCGGACCGTCCATCGCACATGGCCCATGGCCCGTCGCCCATCGTCCATCTCGAATCCCTGTCCGATTTTGTATGTTTACCCCGCTTACAGCTCCGTTCTATTTTTGTTTTCCCCAACGAATACCCGGCAGTCACTGAGTTCGAGGGTATATTGTCTTCGGGCATCTTAAATGGGGTAAGCAGACAAAGACGGACTGTGAATGCATAACCTAAAAAGATTTCCAATTGTATGTATAATCCAAAGTGGTAATAATACTACTTTGTAAGCTCTCCCAGTTCTTTAACAAAATAATTAAGGTACGCATTTGCTATTCATAAATCGATATAGTTATAATTCTAAAACCATTTTATTGGTATGTGAAAAAGGTACGCTTCAAAAATAACCGAATCTGGTATTAATACAATAACACTATGTGAATTAAGTAAGCTCTCCATTTTTTTTAAACATATAATTAAGGTTCACATTTCCTGTTCATAAATCGATATAACTATAATTCTGAACTAATTTCATACTAATTTGTGAAATAGGTTAGCTCTTC